CCGCCCCCCGGGCACCGGCTGTTCCCCGGTCCTGCTCCGGTCCCGAACCGGGGAGGGGTGGGGGGACACGGGATCCGCAACCCGGCCAGTTGCATCCCGAACCGGGGAGGATCCGCATCCTGCTCCGGTCCTAACCGGGAGAGACCCGCATCCCGACCCGCTGCCTCCCGAACCGGGAGGGACTCGCACACCGAGCCGGGAGGGACCCGGATCCTGCTCCGGTCCTGGGCCAGGAGGCACCTGCATCCCGCATCCTCCTCCGGTACCGAACCCGCAGGGATCTGCATCCAGCATCCTGCTCCTGTCCGGAACGGGGAGGGACCTGCATCCTGAACCGGCTGGAGCCCGAATTCCACTGTGATCCTGAATCGTCTCGCACACGGAGCCGGGAAGGATCCGCATCCAGCTCCAGTCTTGAACTGGGAGGCACCTGCATCCCAACTGGCGGCACCCGAAGCAGGAGGGAACTGGGAATGACTCGAATCCCTCTCTGGTCCTGAATGGGGAGGGACCCTCATCCTGCTCTGGTCCTGGATTAGGAGGGACCCACACTCTGAACCATCTGCACCCTGAATTGGGAGAAATCTGCACCCTGGTGCAGCTGCATCCAAGCCTAGAGGGACCCACAGCCCAAACCAGCCCTGCAGCCCAGTCCAGCTGTGCCTGAACTGGGAGGGACTGGCACCCTGAACCAGCTGTGCATCCCAGTCCAGCCGTGTCCAAACTGGGAAGGACTCATGCCCTGAACCAGCCGTGCGCCTTGACATGGCTGAACACCCTTCTCCAGTTGCACCCAGGGACAGGAGGGACCTGCAGCCCAGACTGGCTGTGCATCCCAAGCTGGCTGCACCCTGAACCAGGAGAGACCTCTGCCCTGAACCAGCCACACACCCCAAAATGGCTGCACCCTAATCCAGGAGGGACCTGCACCCCAAACTATCTGTGTTCCTGGTCCTGCTGCACCCTAATCCAGGAGGGACCTGCACCCAAAAGCATTTGTGTTCCTGGTCCTGCTGCACCCTAATCCAGGAGCGACCTGCACCCCAAAGCATTCGTGTTCCTGGTCCAGCAGTGTCGTGGCACGATGGATAATGCTCTGCCTCTGGAAGCGGAGCTGGAGCACCAGTGGCTCCTCAACACCTCCCTGAACGAGTCCTTTGCCAACCAGTTTGTGCAGCCCCCCTGGCAGGTGGCCTTGTGGGCTGTTGCCTACACCCTCATCGTGGTGGTGTCAGTGGTGGGGAACGTGGTGGTGATGTGGATCATCCTGGCTCACAAGAGGATGCGCACCGTCACCAACTACTTCTTGGTGAACTTGGCTTTTGCCGAAGCCTCCATGTCTGCCTTCAACACGGTGGTGAACTTCACCTATGCCATCCACAACGAATGGTACTATGGGCTGCTCTACTGCAAGTTCCACAACTTCTTCCCCATCGCCGCTGTCTTCGCCAGCATCTACTCCATGACGGCCATCGCCCTGGACAGGTGAGCAAACCCCAAACCCTCCCCAGCACTGGGTAATGTGCTCAGCTCTCTCTGATCTCCAGTCCTGGGAGGGCATTGCAATTAAAACCAAGCTCATTTGGGTAAAAGGGAGCTAGAAATAATCCCTCTCCGTGCCCTGGTTGCAGGTGGCTTTGGGAATCCATTGTCAGCTCTGTGAAAGAAGCTCAAGAAAAGGCTTTAAAAGCCCATTGGTTGTGTGTCTTGGGTGTGTGTTTGTAGCATCGCTGTCCTCTCCCTTCCCAGCTCCTCTGCAGAACCATCCATTCCTTCCCCAACCTCCTCATTTCAAAGCAAATTCGGTATTTAGCACAAAATGGCATCACTCATGACATAAAATACACACCTGTGTTGGATGTGCCTCCCTGGTGCTGTAGGAGCTGTGTTGTGTTGCTCAGTCTGGGTTGGGAACTGTCTTGAGCATCGGCACCAGGATCTGGGTGAGTGTTGACCCCCAGCAAACCCACCGTGAGTTCATCAGTGGGGTCAAGGGGGAAAGACCAGTGCGAGGGATTTATCCCCTTCAGCTGCAACCAGCACAGCTTGGTTGGTCTGGGTGTTTTTCACTGCCTGGTTTCTGCTGCTGGCAGAGAGAGATCTTGCCGGTGTTTTGCCACCATCAGAAGTTCAGCCAGCGTTTGGCAGGGCATGATGGCACAGGGGACACTGCCGTCCCAACCCCCAGGAATGAGAAAGGGGTGGAGGGACACAAAACAGCCACACACCAAGCACCTCCAGCTCCCCTCTCCCTTTCCAAGAAATCTTTGGTGGCATTTTCACACCAGCACTAGAGAGAAAATCCAACAGCTTCACAGTCCCCTCATGAGTAGAGGCATCTCAAGAGCAACAGATTTGTCCAACACAACATATTTCCCAAACACTCTCCTGGAGAGAGTCCAGAGGAGCCACAGAGATGATGGGAGGGCTGGAGGCAGGCTGGGAAAGTTGGGGTGTTCAGCCTAGAGAAGAGAAGGCTCCAGGGAGACCTTAGAGCAGCTGCCAGTGCCTGAAGGGGCTCCAGGAAAGCTGGGGAGGGGCTTGGGACAAGGGCAGGGAGTGAGAGGACAAAAAGCATTTGTGTTCCTGGTCCTGCTGCACCCTAATCCAGGAGGGACCTGCACCCCAAAGCATTTGTGTTCCTGGTCCTGCTGCACCCTAATCCAGGAGGGACCTGCACCCCAAAGCATTTGTGTTCCTGGTCCTGCTGCACCCTAATCCAGGAGCGACCTGCACCCCAAAGCATTCGTGTTCCTGGTCCAGCAGTGTCGTGGCACGATGGATAATGCTCTGCCTCTGGAAGCGGAGCTGGAGCACCAGTGGCTCCTCAACACCTCCCTGAACGAGTCCTTTGCCAACCAGTTTGTGCAGCCCCCCTGGCAGGTGGCCTTGTGGGCTGTTGCCTACACCCTCATCGTGGTGGTGTCAGTGGTGGGGAACGTGGTGGTGATGTGGATCATCCTGGCTCACAAGAGGATGCGCACCGTCACCAACTACTTCTTGGTGAACTTGGCTTTTGCCGAAGCCTCCATGTCTGCCTTCAACACGGTGGTGAACTTCACCTATGCCATCCACAACGAATGGTACTATGGGCTGCTCTACTGCAAGTTCCACAACTTCTTCCCCATCGCCGCTGTCTTCGCCAGCATCTACTCCATGACGGCCATCGCCCTGGACAGGTGAGCAAACCCCAAACCCTCCCCAGCACTGGGTAATGTGCTCAGCTCTCTCTGATCTCCAGTCCTGGGAGGGCATTGCAATTAAAACCAAGCTCATTTGGGTAAAAGGGAGCTAGAAATAATCCCTCTCCGTGCCCTGGTTGCAGGTGGCTTTGGGAATCCATTGTCAGCTCTGTGAAAGAAGCTCAAGAAAAGGCTTTAAAAGCCCATTGGTTGTGTGTCTTGGGTGTGTGTTTGTAGCATCGCTGTCCTCTCCCTTCCCAGCTCCTCTGCAGAACCATCCATTCCTTCCCCAACCTCCTCATTTCAAAGCAAATTCGGTATTTAGCACAAAATGGCATCACTCATGACATAAAATACACACCTGTGTTGGATGTGCCTCCCTGGTGCTGTAGGAGCTGTGTTGTGTTGCTCAGTCTGGGTTGGGAACTGTCTTGAGCATCGGCACCAGGATCTGGGTGAGTGTTGACCCCCAGCAAACCCACCGTGAGTTCATCAGTGGGGTCAAGGGGGAAAGACCAGTGCGAGGGATTTATCCCCTTCAGCTGCAACCAGCACAGCTTGGTTGGTCTGGGTGTTTTTCACTGCCTGGTTTCTGCTGCTGGCAGAGAGAGATCTTGCCGGTGTTTTGCCACCATCAGAAGTTCAGCCAGCGTTTGGCAGGGCATGATGGCACAGGGGACACTGCCGTCCCAACCCCCAGGAATGAGAAAGGGGTGGAGGGACACAAAACAGCCACACACCAAGCACCTCCAGCTCCCCTCTCCCTTTCCAAGAAATCTTTGGTGGCATTTTCACACCAGCACTAGAGAGAAAATCCAACAGCTTCACAGTCCCCTCATGAGTAGAGGCATCTCAAGAGCAACAGATTTGTCCAACACAACATATTTCCCAAACACTCTCCTGGAGAGAGTCCAGAGGAGCCACAGAGATGATGGGAGGGCTGGAGGCAGGCTGGGAAAGTTGGGGTGTTCAGCCTAGAGAAGAGAAGGCTCCAGGGAGACCTTAGAGCAGCTGCCAGTGCCTGAAGGGGCTCCAGGAAAGCTGGGGAGGGGCTTGGGACAAGGGCAGGGAGTGAGAGGACAAGGAGGGGATGGATGAAAACTGGAGGAGGGGAGATTGAGGTGAGATATGAGGAGGAAATTCTTTGTTGTGAGGGTGGTGAGAGCCTGGCCCAGGTTGCCCAGGGAAGCTGTGGCTGCCCCATCCCTGGGGGTGTTGAAGGGCAGGTTGGATGGGGCTTGGAGCAGCCTGGGCTGGTGGGAAGTGTCCCTGCCCATGCAGGGGGGTTGGATCTAGATGATCTTGAAGGTCCCTTCCTACCCAAACCATTCCATGATTCTGTGAAGACAGCTCAGCTTCACAATTCCTCATTTTGGGTCCTACTTCCCAGGGAGTAAAAGAGATTTTTGGTCAGAGATAAGTGGTGGAGGAGGAGGCTGGCGTTGCCGTATGGCAGCACGTTTGGAGCTGCTGCCTAAAAGTGCTGCACAACCTGGCACAGATCTTTCCCGGTGAGAAATCCAAGTGCTGCCACAACTCACTCACTGACAGCTTGGAAAACAGAGCTGGATGATGCTCTCTCATCATTTTAAAACAGGCTTGGATTTTGTTTTGCTCTGGAGTGGCTACAAGACCCTCTCCGTGAAACAAATCGGGCAGAGCCAACCTCTCCTACTGGAGATGTGGGGAGATTTAAGGAAATAACAAATAAAAAGAGGAATTCTGCCAGTGTGGCTCAGTTCCTACCCACTGGTGTTGCTGGCTCTGTTTCAGGAGTATCTGAGGATGTTTGAGATCAGCTGGAAAAGACCCTTTAATGGTAGGATGAATTAAAGAGATTTATTATTTTATTTTAAATAATTTGGGTTTTAGCCTTCACTCCACACCCTGGAATAACCAGAAAAGCCAATTTGCCAGGGGAAGCTGGAAAAGCATATGCAAAATGAGAAGCAAAGGCAGGTTTGGGAGCCCAGGGCTGACTTTTTGGGGGAGGAATTGGCATTTTCAGCTTTCTTCCTGGTTCTGCAAACACTTTAGAGAGGGTTGACTTACCCATGGCTGGGCTGCAAAACCTGTGTGTGCAGGCTTGGCTGGCTCACCAAGAAGGACCCAGAAGAAGCTGCAGCCTCAGTGTGGAAACACTTCCTGCATAGAGCTACCTGCTGCATTCCTTGGCCCCAAATTTCCAAGGAGGTGGAAAAATGGGAAGGTGAAGGCAACAAAGTCCATTCTTTGCTTCTCCAGGCAAGTGGCATGCAACAATATTTCCAAGGGCTGGAAAACTGCCTGTTTTCCTGTGTCCAAGACCTGACAATAGCAACTTGAATGAATGAAATGCAGGAAGTTGTTGCATGGAACCCAAAAGGAAAAAGCTGTGTGGGAACAAGGAAAGCAAGTACCTGAATTTGGAGCAGCAGAGTAAGGTGGATTCAGCAAAATAGGTGTATTCACAGCCAGGATGGCTCTGAAACCAACCATGACTGCAGTTCTGATTTCCATCAAAAACCAGGAAAATAGAATTGAATGTGCCTCCTGTTCCCAAACTGTATTAAGTCATCCATCAGAGCAGTCAGACATGGAGTCTGAGGGCTCAGAGGAACGTCAGCCCACAGATTGCTCCCCTAAATCATCTCCTCTTGTGCTTTCTGCCAGCAATTTCCAGAACGTCCTCGCCGGAGGAGATGAAACTGCCTTGGAAAGACTCGGCTTGTTCTTGAGAGAACAAGCAGAGAAGTGGGTTGTGGGTTTGATTCCCCCAATGGCTTTTTTTTGTGTTTTTGTTTTGTTTTTTTTAGCAAAACCTGCCATGGGTTTGTGCAAGAAAAATAATAAAGCTTTTGCTCTAAGCTAGACCATCCGCTCTTTCACCAGGACCTACTTCAGCCTGGGCACAATAGCTCCAAAAAAAGAAGGTAATTCTGTCGTGAGGGTTGTTCTGAACCCTGCAACAATAGCAGGAAATTCAGGAGTCAAGGCTGGCAGATACTAACGTCTGCTCAGGAAAAGCCATGATGCTGCTTTTCAGCATCCTGCAGCAGTGGGGGACAAGCAGCTCTCTTTGGCACTCTACAATTTGCCATGTCCTTCGTTTTCGGGTGTTTCAGTGCACATCACACATCCCCTTCCAGCCTCAAACTCTCCCAGTGAATTAATTCACTTGAAAAAGAGAGACAGAAAATCTTGTTTTTTTCCAGTCTCCCAGGAAAAGTGAAAGCCCAGCAGTGCCCATGGTGAGTCCAAGCTAATTTGCAGCCACACATAGAGGGGAAAAAAAAAAATCACTCTGGACATCTCTAAGTTGCAATATCTCTGGCATGTAGGATGGAGCTTTGTTAGATAAACCATTGACACTCTCCCTGAGCCCTGGATTCCCTTCTGAGAAGCACCACTGTTAGCAAACTTTGGAATGAATGAGTTCCCATGATAAGGGAACCAGCAAGGTGAAGATCCCCAATTATTTGCAGAATCAGAAAAAGAATCGTGTCTGATCTCAAACCTGGAAGTGAGCCAAGCTGGAAACACCACAGACTGAACAAACCCTGAGCAGGGTGAGAGCCCTGCCCTGAGCTCAGGGTGAAGACAGATTGTGCAGCATTCAGGCTATTTTATATAAAGCAATTTCCCTTTTTCTGCAAAGCATCCTCCACTCCTAAACACCTACCTGGGACTAACCTCCCGCAACTCCTAGACTTGCTGGTTTTGCTCATTAAAAGAGCCCCCTCAGCCCTCCACCAGCACCAGCACTGCCAGATCACCACACTTGGCTGGGCAATCCAACTGGCATCTTCTTTTTTTTTTGTTTTAATTTCCAAATGGATTATCAAATTATATTAGGTGTCTTAAGATTCATCAATTTACCAACAGGAGAAACATCAAATCCACAAACATTCTTTCACCACCACAACTCCTAAAATTGCTCGTTTGCAACCGAGACCAGTTAGTATCTCCCTAACCCCATATTATTTGCAGCAGAAAAACTGGCTCAGAAAATTATTTACTGCTTACAAGCTTGAACTCCCACGTTGGACAATCCAGCTGAATATCAGGAACATATTCACCAGCACAGTGACCCCCTGCCTTTCACAGGAGATGATGACTGCAGAAAAAAACCCTCTGGAGAGAACAAATTACATCAGCACGCAGACAGATTAATTAGTCATTTACACCCTAATATAGCACCAGCTTGTTGGGGCTTTTTTTTAAATCTTGACTTAATGGACTTCTGGGGTTTCCAGTGCAGGACACTGATCTGCACCCGGTGCTGTATAATCTTGCCCTGTTGGGATGTAATTTGGAAGGGGGAAGAGGAAGGGAGAAGTGAAAGGAGCTCAGGGTTTAGGTGAGCAGCCTCGCGGCGCCACCTGCGCCATCACCAGACCAGCTTTTTGCTCTCCCAAGAAATCAAACATCACTGAACACAGTAAAACAGGCTGTGAGAGTTGGGGTGTTCAGCCTGGAGAAGAGAAGGCTCCAGGGAGACCTTAGAGCACCTGCCAGTGCCTGAAGGGGCTCCAGAAGAGCTGGGGAGAGACTTGGGACAAGGGCAGGGAGGGATGGGATGAGGGAGATGGATGAAAACTGGGAGAGGAAGCTGGAGGCTGGAGGTGAGGAGGGAATTCTTTGGTGTGAGGGTGGTGAGAGCCTGGCCCAGGTTGCCCAGGGAAGCTGTGGCTGCCCCATCCCTGGGGGTGCTGAAGGGCAGGTTGGATGGGGCTTGGAGCAGCCTGGGCTGGTGGGAGGGGTCCCTGCCCATGCAGGGGGAGTGGATCTAGATGATCTTTGAGGTCCCTTCCAACCCAAACCATTCCATGATTCTATGAAAACCCTGTAAAGCTGCTGGATATTCAGCAGAGAGTTGGCTCCAATCATTTTCCAGCTGGGAGTTGGAAAGCCTGATGGCCTTGCTAAGGAGTCACTCACCAAGGCCAGTTCGTGCCCCTGCTCCGACAGGGGGTAGGACTGGATAACCTCCAGAGGTCCCTTCCAACCCCCACCATTCTATGAGGGTCAGTATTTTTGGATCCACTTTTGCAACAAAACCCTCATAGAAAACCAAAAGGCAGGTTTTTCTCTACAGAGCCTTTTGTTTTTTGGGTAGGAAAGACCAGGAGCCGTGCTGGAGGTATTTGACCCACCTCAGTGCAGGGCATCTGCTCTGACTTGGTTGCAAATTCCACCAGGACTGACTCAGTACTGAACCCCTCTTTGCTCAGGATGGGGAACCGTTGTGCAATAAAAGGCACAAACCCCATGTCCTCTTGGTTACTTATCTCTTATCTGTCGCATCCTTCTTACTTAACGAAGCAGATAAAGAAACTCTGGGATGAAGGACGCTTCATAAATTTTTTCTTATTGTATCAATCTCATCTCCATTACAATTGTTTAATGTTAGTTATCCAGGCAGAATCCAGATTTCCAGATGCAATTAATAGAGGGCTACACTGCCTGGAATGCAGCATCTATTTAATAACCGATATGCTCGGAGCTGCCCTGGTACAAATGCTGTTGTGTCATCATGGTAACGCTCTCCCCCAAAACACAATAAAATATTTAAAGAGCAGTAAATGACATTACCCACGTCATCGGGTGGCGTCTGGCGTGCAGCTGGGTGCCTCAGTGCCAGGCTCATTAAAAATGGGGGACGTCAAATGTTCACTGTGGTGGGAAAGGTGGAAGGGAAATGGAGGGTATTACATCAGTTTGCAACTCTCCTGCAAGGAGCTGGGTGATCCTGAGTGTGCAAAACTTGCACTTGGAGGTGGTGCTGCCACATCCCAAAGGAAAACAGCTGCAGGTAATTTTGTTTTGAGGAACAGGGGTCATTAAGTTTTCCCAACCCAACAGCTTCGGCAGGAAAATGGCCAGTTCCTGGTGCCACCTCCATGCACAGGGAATAAAACCTTTCCCTAACGCAGGAAATCTGGCCTTAAATCCTCAACCAAGAGCCAATTCCTTTTAAAAAATGTGGACTTGAAGACCCCACAGTGGTTTGTCACACACTGCTGTAACCTGCAAGGGCAGGATGCAGGATGCTCATGTAGGGCTATGCCCCTCTTCCTCACCTCCCTCCACAGAATGGTTCTGGTTGGAAAAGACCTCTAAGATCACCGAGTCCAACCATAACCCAACTCTACCAACCATTAACCCAAGTCCAGTGCTTAAACCATGTCACTCAGCACCACATTTTCAAGCCTCTTAAACACCTCCAGGGATAGAGACTCCGTGGCAACCTGTGCCAGTGTCTAATTACCATTTCAGTGAAGAAACCTTTTCTAATATTTAATCTAAATCCCTGGGTTTCTGAGCTCCAGTGCACGGTGCCACCTCATGTTGACCTTCTCATCCACCATCACCCCGAAGAGGCTCTGGGGCTCCTGTTTCAAGACTCCCAGAGATGTTTCTGATGGATGATCCCTGATGCTTTTTGCATTATGTGGAGTGAGGGGCTGCCAGGATGTATTAAAGTGGTGTCAAAAGTACAACCCCCCATGAAAGTGAGACCTAAAACAGCCCCAAAAATGCTACATTTGGAACCTTGCAGCCTTCATTTCTCCTTTTTCCACCTGGCAGGTACATGGCTATCATCCACCCGCTGCAGCCCCGGCTCTCAGCCACTGCCACCAAGGTGGTCATTGGTGTCATCTGGCTCCTGGCTTTCCTGCTGGCATTCCCCCAGGGATACTACTCAGTGATGGAGGAGCTGCCTGGCCGGCTGGTGTGTCTGGTGGAGTGGCCAGAGCACAGCACCAATGTCTACGGAAAAACGTGAGTTGAACTTCCCAGCAGTGGGGACGAGTCACTGCACAGCCAAAAAAAACCCAAAATAGATCCCAAAAAGTATAAAAAAACAGGAAATTAAGAAGGATGGGAATGGCTCAGAGTTCCCTGGGGTGGAGAAAACCTCCCCCTTCCCTAGCAAGGGCTGGTGAAATGTAGTTAACAGTATCAAAATCTCTATTCATATCATCTTGGGGCAAATTGAAGTGAATTAAGATGAGTTCAGTGCTTCTTGTGTTCCAAATGTTGCCCTTCTTGGATGCTCATCCTCAGGGCAAAGTCACATAAAATGGCTGAGACACCATATTTTGTTGGGGGGAGGGGTCTGCATTGCCTCCAGGACTTACGCATACACAGAAATCAGCCTGGCTTCTATAGCACTGTTCCTGCAATCCACACATCTAAAGGCTTCCTGGGGCAAGAGTTATTCCTGTGAGAGATCAGTAGTTTTACTAGGGGTATCTTGGCCAAGCAACAGAATCACAGGGGTTGGAAGAGACCTCTGAAGATCCAGTCCAACCCCCCTGCTGCAGCAGGATCACCTGGGGCAGGTCACACAGGAATGTGTCCAGAAGGGTTTTGAAAGTCTGCAGAGAAGGAGACTTCACAACCTCTCTGGGCAGCCTGTCCCAGGGCTCCCTCACCCTCACAGGAAAGAAGTTCTTTCTCATGTTGAGGTGGAAGTTCCTGTGTTCTAGTTTATGTCCATTGCCCCTTGTCCAACCACAAGGCACCACTGAGAAGAGCCTGGCCCCTTCCTGACACCCCCCTTCAGATATTTGTAGACATGAATAAGATCCTCTCTCAGTCTTCTCAAGACTAAACAGCCCCAGGTCTCTCAGCCTTTCCTCACGTGACAAATATTCCAGTCCCTTCATCATCCTTGTAGCCCTCACTGGACTCTCTAGCATATCCCTGTCCCAGCCCATCCCAATAACAGGGAAAAAAAAAACAAAAACGGTTTAGGATTTACCAAGTCTAAATGGCCAAAAATTCACTCCACACTTTAAAAAAAAAGCAATAAAAAGAGACTCTGTGGCATCAGCTCAGGCTGGGAGGCAAATGCTGGGCTAGGAGGGCTCAGCAGGGGTCTCTTTCCTTCCTGTTAAGGTACCAGCTAATTACATTTGGCATTTCCAAAGGGTCTGGGCAGCCCTGCCAGCCTGTCAGCCCAGCAGCCCTCTGGGCTTTGCTCTTTGAAGTCCATGAGTCGTGCAGCGAGTTAAATGTCATGTGTGAGAGGAAAAAGAGGCAGAGGGGGGGAAAAAATAGGCATTTGTGATCTCCAGCCCCGTGGAGCAATGAATTAGGGCTGGGAAATTGTGCTGGAGCCAAAGCAGAGACACCCACACCCACACAGAGGTGTTGAAAGCCAACCTGAGCCTGGCAAGGGCCTCTGTGCAAGACAAATGAGATAAGTTTGCCAGTTAGCAGCGAGTGGCGGGTCGCAGAGCTGGATAGTGTCATTTATTATCACACTGTTTATTTGCACTGCAAGGCAGGGATGGCAAGAACTGAGCTGGGGCTGGCCCAGCTGATCTCCAGAGGTGTTTTCCAACCTTCATTACTCCAGGCTACAGTGATAAATAGAGCTAGAGCAGAGGAATGCTGCCCACGTGGCTGGGATGGGGCTGAGCCCCCTCTGGGACCCAAGCAGCACCCAGCACGAGCTCAGGGACTGGCTTTGACAGCTCATTTGTCATGCAGCTGGACGCCAGGGCTGTCCCTTTTTCAAACAGCTAATTCAAGAGGAAAATGCCACCATTAACCTAGGAATGATTTACCATTAAGCCAGGAATGATTTGCTGCTGGAAGCCGGGGCGCTGCTTCAGAGCCTGAGCACATCCAGGGGGCCAGCCAGGGGGCTCTGCAGCCAGGAAAGCAGATGCTAAACAGGAGCTTTTTCAATAGCCAAATCCCAAAGGTTTAGTGAGGATGGAAATTGGAGTTGCAGCTCAGCAGCACGACTCCAAACTGCACCAAGCCACTTGCAGAGGGCAGAGCCCGGGATGTTATTTTACTGTCCCAAAATAACTTTTCAGGGACAGGTGGCTGGGCCACTGTCACCCCCCCTGGTGTGGCCTGGGGCAGTTATTTCAGGAAGGCATCCTTTTCCAATGCCACAATGAAAAAGAATATTATCCTCTAGTTCACAGTGAAAGCAGGGGACTTCTCCCAACACCACCAAGTCTTTTCTCTTAGCAAATGGAGCCCAAGAAGCACGACCCCAGCATGTAGAGAGGATCAGAGACAGGGATGTGCACAGGAAGGTTTTTTCACTGGGAAAATGTCCTGTTCTCAGGCCACTCCTATAGGGGGAAGTAAATAGAGGTGCAGGTGAGGTGCTGTGTCTGCTACAGGAGCTGGTGATCCAAGCTCGATTCCATTCAGCAGCTCCTCAGCCCTGCTAATCCCTGATTCCCAGCTTTGGTTTCAAAACAGATGCCTGATCTATTCCAATTTTCTTAGCTGCCATTTCAGTTTGTCAAGGGGAAAAAGCCACTCCAGTCTCCAGCTTCTCTGGAAGACAACAGCCTGCAGCAGCTATCTGGGCTTTGCAATGCAAAAGGAGATGGCAGCTCCCAACATTCCTGTCCCATAACTCCTACGGGCTCCTCCATCCTTGACAAGACCCTTATCCCACACCCAAGACCTTTACATGACCAATTCTAGGCCTCTCTGTGTGCTCTGATCCTGCAATCCTTGCAGATCAATGAATCACAGAATGGTCAGGGTTGGAAAGGACGTCTGTAGATCATCTAGTCAAACCCCCTTCTAGAGCAGGATCCCTTAGAGCAGATCCCACATCATGTACAGATGGGTTTGGAATGTCTCCAGGGATGAAGACTCCACAGCCTTCCCATGCAGCTGTCCCAGGGCTCTGCCACCCTCACAGGGAATAAATATTTTCTCATATTCAGCTTTAATCTCCTGTGTACCAGTTTGTGCCCATTGCCCCTGGTCCTGTCACTGGACACCACTGAGAGGAGTCCCATATAGGGAAGCTCTCACATGGACATCATTTTTCAGCACCCAGGGTCCAAGAAATAAAAGAATCTTTGGAAATCTCTGTCCCTGCCAGGCCCTGGCAGCTCTGAAAATAAGGGTCTGTCCTGCTTACATTATCTGACAGCTCCTCTGGAGCATTTCTGCATCCTTCCCAGCTGTTGGCAGCTGGTTTGAGACCCTGCATTGATGGGAACCACAGCAAGACCCTCATGGTGAAGCCACAGAGACGCCTCTTCAATTAGCAAAACAAAAAACAGCCCTAGGAAATCCAGCTGAAATGTGATTAGTGCTGGGCAAAGAAGAGGCCAAATGAGATTGCAGGTACAAAACAGGGGTGGGTCCATGGCCAACCCTGTTCCCTGTGGGATTGACACCAGGCATGAGCCTGCCCCATTCATTACACTTTGGAGATATTATTCAATCTAAGCTCCCAGAAGGATGAGTGAGTGCAAGAGCAGAGCGTGGCCACAGGGCAGGAATGGCCTTGAAAAGATGCAGCACCTCACACTTGAGCAGCCCAGAAATCATATCACAGAATCATGGAGTGGTTTGGGTTGGAGGGGACCTTAAAGATCATCTAGATCCAATCCCCTGCATGGGCAGGGGCACCTCCAATCAGCCCAGGTTGCTCCAAGCCCCATCCAACCTGCCCTTCAGCACTGCCAGGGATGGGGCAGCCACAGCTTCCCTGGGCAATCTGAGCCAGGCTCTCACCACCTTCACACTAAATGCATGCAAAGACCCTAAAGCTGTTCCAAGACAATTACCTCCAGCACACCTGATGCTTTCCAAGCCAGCATGGTGCAAACCAGCTGTGTTTCTGTACCACTATTGCTCACCTTTCTGCAGAGGAGAGAGGTTCTTGCAAGCTACAAAGGTCAGAAGGAACCTGCAAGGTCAAATCATCTATCCTTGTCCTGTTTGTTACAAACAACATTATTTTTTTCCCTTTAAACCAGCTACTATCTAACACAAACCTTTCACTGAGCCCACTTTTGTCTTGCAAGCTGCCATGGCTCTACCAACTTCACAGCAAGTCCTAAGTTGCACTCACAGTTTAATCCAGACCCTCTCCTTTGATTTTGGGCTTATTTATACCTAGTAGAAACAGTCACAAAAATCCTGCCCTTTCCACAAGCATGGAGAACTGAATTCAGTTCAGAACTGATCCGGCCACTGAATTCCCACCATAACAAAGGTTCAGGCTGTGTTTTGGGGACTGGGATTGTGTTTTTTGCCGCCTGAGTCCAGCTAAACCCCCGGGGGACGAGGATTTAGGCAAGCTGCATCCAAGACCCACTGTTTGCCCTGCAGGAAAAGCTTTAATTCCTTCATCTTAATATTCTCATCCCCTACACATCAAAAACCCCCATGTTTGTTCCTGCAGGACTGCCAGAGAAGAGGTGTGATAAGAGCAAGAATTAATCTCTGGGATGATTGGGTTGTAAATAGAGTAAAAGTGAGAGTAGAGCCACTTCAGTGAAGACATCCTTGCTTTATGAAGGTAACACAAGTTCTTCACAGGCCTCTGCACCCCATCCCAGGAGGGTGCCAGGGTGCCAAAGGCTGGCAGTAGAGGCTCAAAAAGATTGGGGTGAAAGTAAGGAGTCCTTCCTGTGTGCAGGAATTGTATTTTGCCCTCAAGCTTGGTTTGCAAGACAAAGACTTAACAGGTAGAGGAGACACTCAATGACCATCATATTTTCTAGGTATCACTTCTGCATGACCATCCTGATCTACTTCTTGCCACTTCTGGTGATAGGATGTGCCTATACTGTGGTTGGCATCACCCTCTGGGCCAGTGAGATACCCGGCGACTCCTCTGACCGCTACCACGAGCAGGTCTCAGCTAAGAGGAAGGTAAGGAACTCCAAGCAGGAGCCATCCATGACCAGGTTCCAACTAACCATGGCCAAAATACTTCATTAGGAGTGGAAACAGGTCAGGTCTTGTTGCATGGTTATTGCTAACAGAGCAGAGAGTGTCCTCCAGATGCGTGTTGTCCATGAACGTGCATGGTTTAAAAAACCAAGGTGTCAACCATGTGTTTCTGGCTGGAAAAGTCTCCAAGGTAAAAAGAAGTGGCCCCTTCAGGAGGGTGACTGGAGATGACTTTGCTTCCTTTCCCTCTCTTCTTCTCACAGGTAGTGAAGATGATGATCATTGTGGTCTGCACGTTTGCTGTGTGCTGGCTGCCCTATCACATCTACTTCACCCTGCAGTATTTCAACCCTGAGTGGTACCTGCAGAAGTTCATCCAGCAGGTCTACCTGGCTATCATGTGGCTGGCCATGAGCTCCACCATGTACAACCCCATCATCTACTGCTGCCTCAACGACAGGTGGGTTTCGAGGGACTCTTGGCCACTTTCTTGGTGCAACAGGAAGGGGTGGAGGGGGAGACACTGAGAGATCTGATGGAGGAGAGTATGGATGGACAGTTTTTTTGCAGGATGGATGTCCCTCATCCTCTGCCAGGGGGATGCTTCCAGCAGATACAAATATTCACCTTAATAGTCTTTCCAAAAGCTCCTGTGGGACTTGAAGGCAGGTATGAAAACCATCCTGACCCTAACTGGGATTTATCATAGGTTTTTTCCTCCTCTTAGTGAAGATCAGTAATTTTTTGGTGTTTAGCAGCACTTAGATCTGTCTTCCCTCTCCTAGCAAGGTCCTTTTGCCATCTCCATGTCCCTCACCCCTGCCTTTCCCCACCTCTTTTGTCCCCCCAGGTTTCGCGTGGGGTTCAAACACGCATTTCGGTGGTGCCCGTTTGTCAGCGCAGGCGAGTACGAGGGCCTGGAGTTGAAGTCAGCCAGATACCTGCAGACACAGAGCAGCATGTACAAGGCCAGCCGGATAGAGACCACTGTGTCCTCAGCAGTGGGCATGGCTGAAGAGGAGCTGGAGGAGAGCAGCAAAGCCAAGCGTCTCTCTGTAGACATGACCTCCAACGGCTCCTCCCGCAGCGACTCCAAGACAGTCTCCGAAAGCTTCAGCTTCTACTCCAACACGCTCACCTAAGCAGTTTCTCAGCTCCATCAGCTACCCAAGGGTGCCACCATCCCCCTTCCTTCACAGGGATGCTCCAACACCTAACCCATCCAGTGCCACCACCTTGGTCTGTGATGTGCTGGCTTTTTTCTGTGCTGTTTCACCATCTCGTGCTGTGCCACTCACTTGGGCGAGCCCAAGGGCAAAAGCTTTGGGTTGGTTCCATGTGCACAACCATGGCTTGTGTGTGAAGATCAGAGAGGTGTAGCTGCCTCCACCTTGCTCACTGTCTGTCCAGTCCACCACATGCCAGGCAGGTGGATAGGATGCAGAAATGGGCCAGAGCTGGATTTTTCTCCCAAACCATAAGTACAACATTGGCAGGTGCTTCTCTCCTCTCTGCAAGGATCTCCCAGCACATTTCACTCCACAGGAAAACAAACCAATCTTACACTTCCCTCCTCCCCCCTTTAATTTCATTCTCCCTGTCACTCCCAGATGACTATCCAGAGTATTCAAGTCCAAAATCCAGCAAAAATTGCTGTTTACAACATCAGGAGCCTGTACGTCCATGGGGCACCACTGGCCACCTGGCACTTCAACCCACATCCAGGCATTTCTGCAGTGCCTCCATCTCCAGCATCCACATCCCTCTATATGATGGTCTTCTGTTGCCACTCCACAACACAGCTCACCAAAACAGGGCTCTCCAAAAGGCTTTCTGAACAGAGCCAGACTTTGATTGCTGTTAACCAACCACACGTGCCAAAAGCAATCACTGTGATTTCCTAGAAGGCCCAAGCTGATGTTTCTTGCAGAGGTTTTGGAAGCCTGTGGAGATCTGGAGAAGAACAGACTGACCATACTGAAATGTTGGCACAGCCTGGAAATGTCTCAAGCTGCACAGAAAGGGGTGTGGTAGAATTCTGCCAGAAAACCCAAGTTTTGTCAGTGAGACAAGAATTTTGCAGACATCTTTCAGTCAGAGATCATTCAATTATTCACTCCCACTTTCTGGGTTTTGTTTTGATCAGGGAAACTTCTTTTCATCCCTCTGTCTTTTGCTTAAAACATTAAGTTTATAAGTGTACACGGATGTATCTAATATTTTAATCCTGTTATGGTGGATGATTTTCACTGGGGCTGATTGTACCAAGGGCTCCTTTGGTTCACTATGAACATAAACTCAAAGGGAAAAAGAAAGTCAATGACAAGTGGGGAAACATGGCTTGGGAACAAACTCACAATTTTGGGGGCATTTTGGGGGTGGTTATATCAACTGCTCCTTGCTGCTGGTCCAATCTCTCACTTCTGGTGTAGAAATCAGCTCCAAAAGTGGATTCAATGCAAAATAAAAATGCTGGAGAGACATGTGACAGGTTTGTCCAGGCCGAAGAAATGGCTCTTTCATTTTAAAGCCCAACATCAGTCCCTGTTGAGCACACAGTAATTTCTGGAGGTAAAGGAGAGGTGACTTTTGGAGCTTATCAAATCTTCAGTCTCCAAACAGGCTGTTGCAAGATCCAGTCATTAATAAATCTTCAGCTACATTGGTTCTTGGAGATAAAAACACACAAATTTAAGCAACAACTCCAGCAGAAATGCCATGAATGGGCACAGAGATGGATCCAAGAGCAACAAAATGGCTGCAAAACAAGATTGACAAGAGCAATCATCTCCATTTTTACCCAAAATGCTGCCAAGTGCCACTAGTGAGGAGCAGCTCTTCCAGCCACTTCCACACCCTTCCTGACTACATGATATTCCCAACAGTCTCATGCTCCACACACATGCTGGAACACACCGTTTTTGTCCTGCTTAAGCTGCCACTTCTCACTGTTCTTGTCGCCTTAAGGCACATTCCCTGGTGACTGCCTTCCACAACTGTGCAGGGTGGAAAGGGAGGAATGGCACGAGCCTGCCTGGAGATTTGTTTTTGTAACAAACCACCAGCCCCAGGAAGCAGGAACTGAAGGGATGGGCGATGCCAAAGATTTTATCTCCAGGGCTGGATTATGAAACTCTTCCCCCAACTCCACAGGAGCTGTGCTGCCAATATACAAGAAGGTGCTACAAACCAGAGCCAAATGCTGATTGACTCCCAGCTGCCAACCCAAATCCAAACTGAAGAGGAAACCAAATATCTCTAAATGGGCTAGAGAGCTGAATAAGGCAGAGATTGGCTTCACACACCCCCTAGCATAGGAGTTTGTATCAGGTTGTGAGTCAACAGAAGTCAGCATTCAGAGAAAAAAAAAAAAAGAAAAATATGTATATAGATATAAATATATATAACCATGCTGCCCTTTTGTCTCTGTTTTATGCCCCAAGGATGCCACAATCATGAGACATGCAGAGAAATGACAACTGTCTTCTTCCAAGCAGTGCTCAGCCTGAAACGTGGGACAAGCCCAGGGGCTCACACAGAGACTTGGATTCAAGCTGACAGTTTCCAGCCTGAAATATTTCTTGAAGAAAATTCTCTCTTGAAATCAAGTAGGAGAAATTCCCACCTCTCCTAGACAGTGCCAATGACCACAGTGGAGCCTGCCTGGGATGCCCAAGCTGATGGGAACGGGTCACGGGATCATTCAACAGATGGAGACAGGTGCAGGCAAGCCAAAATGTTCTGTGTGAACAGGTACAATGTGCCCAAACCTGGGTTTTCTTTCTCCCCCTCCAAGTGCCAAGTTCCTTTATCAGGGGAGGCAGGAACAGGGATAAGGCTCTTTTCACATTTAGGATCTAGGCCAGCCCACAAGATGGGACATTTGTCTCGGGTCTGTGTCCATAAACAATGTGTACCAGGCAACATGAGCTGGTTTCACCACCCTTGGGACACTCTCTGGATGTGAAGCCACAGACAAATCTTCTCTTGAAGACTGAAAAGCTTAAAACAAGACACCCCTGCCCAGCCTTGGGGATGTGGCATGTGGTGAGTCCAGCCTCTGCACTATTTCCAGCTCTCCTTTCAGACAGGTCAGCTGTAACACAGAGGCTTTTTCTGGTTTATTAAGCCCGTTTTCCAGGTTTGTTTGCAGATCTCTGATTAGAAATTAAATTTCAAAGTGAGCCAGTTGCTTTGTCTCTTTCCTGGCTCTAGAATGCAACATAATAGCATCTGGAGAGAATCATTCGGCAGGTCTGCACACATCCCTTTGCCATCTCCTCCTTGGAGGCACGCAGATAACTCCCACCATCATTAAGGGGAGCTGCCTATGCCCAATTACAACCCACTCCAATCCAAAACTGTTGCAGGAGAGAGCTCTGAAACCCAAATCCCAGCCTGAAGCCAGCTCCTTACCCCCAAGGGACTGATTATAAGCTCAGGTTTACTCCCTGGCACTCAGAAATCACTCTTCCCACCTAGAAGGATGTCCCACTTCCCAGCAGAAGCATGAAGCAGCAAATTCCCCTCTCCATCCATAACTCAAGACCTGCTCAGTTGCTCCAAAATACAACATTTACACCCTGTTTCATGTCTAACCATTTCTCTCCCACCAGCTCAAAACAAACAAACAGCAAAAGCCAAGAGCCTGCTTGCCAGGAAAGGGAGGCAGCTTTACAAACATGGAAGGCAAAGCACAGCAGCCAGTACCAGGCCCTGTTCTTCACAACACTCATAACAGGACTGCTGGTGGACACACAAAACCCTGCCCACCCCACACTTATCTCTATTATTTTTATTTTGCTGTCCCTCGAGGGATGCAGTGGCTGCTCTGCCTACAGGGAGTGACTTGAGGTGGAGGATCTGCTGCTCACTGCATTTCCTCAGAGCTGATGCGGTTTTTTTAGCTTGCTGTGTCCCAGCCAGAGCCCTCCTGCAGATCACACAGCCGAAGTGCCCAGCCCAAGAGCTCCTAGCTTTTGTTTCATTAAAAAACACTTTAAAAAAAAATCAACCTCTCAAGCTTCAGGAATCTGTTAATAAGCTACTGAACACACCATCCTGCCCCCCCAAAAAACCTGTCTCCAGCTGAATAACTAATGCAGCACTTCAAATGCAAAGCTAAATACACAAATAGCCCCTTTCCCTGGGGTGTATCCACCCAAAATACCATCTCAGCTGGAGCTAAATCACATTCATCAATTAAACAAGGCAGTCATGGCACCTTGAGAAGGGACAGTGAGTCCCAAGAGCAGCTGAGGATGAGAAAGGACAAATTCAGGTGTCTCTGCCCTTCAACTTTCCATCCTAGACAAAAAGCCTCCTGATTCTGTGCAATATGACACTGTAGGAGCCAGGGGGGCAGTGAGGGGACAAGATGTGCTGGGACATGCCTCTGGGGTTTGGTGTTTGGGACAGGCAACGGGAGCTTTGGGTGAAGTTCTTCCCATAGTAGCATCTCTACAGAGAAAAAAATCCAACCTTCCTCCCCAAAATGGTCTCTCTCTGCTCATCAGGTTTGTCCAAGTGGATTTTCATAAATAAATGTTTCTTTTGTGAGAGCACACTGCAACCTGTTCGTGATGAGAGGCAGCAACTGGTGCATGGTGGGAGCAGGAGGGGAAGCAGTGAAACATGGTGAAGCCAAAACGAGGTGAAAAGAGGGGTGAGAGGCACCTGGTGGGCTTTGGGGGGGGGACCTGTGGTGTGAGGGGTGTGCTCTGAAAATTCAAAACTACAGCAAAAAAAAGCATTGCTCTCAAAACTCAGCCCCACAATTCCCAGCACTCCAGAAAGGCTGGAATGGCTCCTGGAACAGGGCAGCACTCACCAGCCAGTGGCTTCTCTGCACAGGGCTGAAGCAGATGTGTGACTCCAGGTTCCTGGATCCCCACTGGTGTTCCCACCTCTCCAGCTGGCTGCAAGGCAGAGCAGGTCTCTTAATGAAGCAGCTCCACTCTCTGGTTTGGGCTTCCCAAGCCCCACTGCTCAGCTGGGGCAGGTGCCAGGACAACATAGCAACCCTTGGCTTTCTGAGGCCTCACCACCCTGGTGGGAGAGAAAACGTGAAAGTGAGGAACAACCAGCCATGCTGCACCTCCCAGAGCAGAGCCCCCAACCCAGCCAGCCCTCACAATCAGCT